ACATTACGCGGTAATTGATCAAACATGGAACTGGACGGCAATACGTAATGCGGTCTCCATTTTCTAGTTTTAGGTATCCAACCAGATGACGATATGTAACGCGATTGCCATACTTTACTTTTGACACCGGACAGTGATACGTAACAGGGTAGTCAAAACTCAGGTTGAGGCACCCGATTGTGAGAATAGTCATTGTATGTAAGTATGTAAGTAAGTAAGTAAGTAAGTAAGTAAAGCTAGTAGTGGTGCCACCTAAGTCGAGGTAAATCCCCGTTTTAAAATAAACGAAGCAAGTTACTTAGGAAGTAATCAATAGTTTTTAAGTTAAAATTTTGGGGATGGCGAGTAACAACAACTCCCACGTTTTTAAGTGTTAAAGTTAAAGGATGGGAGTAAATGTAATAACAACTTTCACAGTTTTAAGGAGAACTTTAGGGTTAATATATTTGTATGGCCTGAACTTTGCACATAATAAACATCCTGGCCAATCTTTTCGATCTAAACTTCCTGGCCCAATCTATACATCAAATTTACTAAATAGGCCAAACTCGATGTTTGATCGTTATCTTTGACGGTCAAACGCGTTGAATAAGGGTCAACGCGCCACGTCATTGCCAAGTCAGCACCTTTCGCTTAAAAAAATATATATATTCCACTTATAAAAATTGATATTTTATTTTAAAATACAACAATTTAAATAAAATTTAAAAAAAAAATTGGGTACTATGTTGAAAATGGCTAAATTACACGTTTGGTCACTCAAATTATACAAATCTTTCACGTTTGCCACCCGAATTACTTTTCTTTCTTATTCGCCACTAACTTTACGAATCATTTCACGGTTGGTCACCGGCCGTTACACTCCGTTAAGTTTGTCCTACGTGCCAGTCAACTATAAAGTTTGACCATTAACCAGGTGACGTGGAAATTTAAAAAATATATATTAAATTTTCTTTCCACCTCATCATTGCACTTAATTTGTTTATATAATTTATCATATTAATAATTTAATAAAATTTAATAAAAATGGGCAAATCCAAGCGCGGCCTCTGTTCTCATCCTTCCCACCGCCACCGCAACACCGTCGCCCCTGTTCTCATCCTTCCCACCGGAGGAAACCCTCAGCTCCTCAATCCTATTAATCCTCTCGCTGCTGCTGACGTGGAGCAAAGCCGCCGAATTCGAGTTCGATTCGAAATTTCCCGAATCAATTTAATCTTCTCCCCTTCCCCGCCACCATCCCCCTTCCCCGCCGCCGCCGACGACCGGCTCCTCTGACTCTGCTCCTCCCCTCCCCCGCCACCGCCGCGGGAGTACGAAATTGTTGCCCCTCCCTCAAAATTATCCTTCAAGAGTACTCCGCCGTCTTTTCTAATAAACTGCTTGCTTGAATCAACAACATAACAAATTAACTTCCGCCTAATTGTCAGGCATACATTCCAAGTTAATTGCCTTACAAGCAACAAATTACCTTTGACTCCGCAGTATGCTTGAGCTTGTCGGCATGCTTGGTAACACTTTGCAAGAAAAGCATATGCTTAATCTAATGGTGCGTTCAAGAAGAGCATCAATGCTACACTGTTAACAAATCACATTATCATCCAAAGAAAAGTGTCAACCTTCGACGTTAGGAAATAAATAAATAAATAAAAAGTACATAAGGATAATAATAACAAGGAAACTAATTACCTTGCCTCCATTTGGTAATGTCGCGCAACTCCTTCACGCGATCTTGGATCATTTGGTGATCCTTGGGCCTAGGCCTAGGATTTTCTCCAGGCTTCAGCCGCTTACGGTTAGGTTTGTTGCTTGATTCTTCATTCTTCTTGGGAAATCTAGATGTTGATATACTATTGTCCCGCCTCCCATTATGGCTACCAAGTGAACTCAGCTGAGATCCATAAAATGAAGTCGTCTGAGAACAACTTCCCACGTCATCCGTTGTTGTTCTACCTCTTCCACGAAGGTCAAAAGTTTCCCTTTTCACCGGGTCAGGCACGCTAACCAGGCCATACGTATGATGCGCACTAGGAACAGAAGGACTGCTTGCCTTGGTCACAGTCGTTCTACTTGAATTGCTGTCATCCGAGTTCTGCTTCGTGCTAGAGTGGGCCCTAGAGTTGCAGGTAAGGTAGTGCTGTAGAAATCAGAACCTTTCTTCTCTTCAACCATAGGAGCATCGAGTTTCTGACGGAGCCGGAAACAGTCGTCGGTTGTGCGGCGACGAAGCCGAATCAGGTCCATCTGTTCTCGACGGCGTCGGTGATTAAGGAAGGGTGATCGGCCCAATTGAACAGCGGCCGGGCGGAAGGCCCGCGCTTGAAGGCGTAGTAGTTCCGCTCCACTTGCTGGCGGCGGCAGGGACGCTGTTGTCGACGTCTACGGAGGAGGAGAGGGAGTGGATGGTGAGAGTGAGGATGCATTTGGATTTGTCAATTTTTGTAATTTATTAAATTTTATTAAATTATTAATATGATAAATTATATAGACAAAATAAGTGCAATGATGAGGTGGAAAGAAATTTTTATTTTTTTTTTAATTTCCACGTCATCTAGTTAATGGTCAAACTTTATAGTTGACTGCCACGTAGGACAAACTTAACGGAGTGTAACGACCGGTGACCAACCGTGAAACAATTCGTAAAGTTAGTGGCGAATAAGAAAGAAAAGTAATTCGGGTGGCAAACGTGAAAGATTTGTATAATTTGAGTGACTAAACGTGTAATTTAGCCGTTGAAAATTAATTAGAAATTACTGAAAATAAATGGTGAAATTTTTCAAATTTTCATTTTCATTAAAAAAAATTCATTTATATATTCTTTGTTCATATTTGTGGAAAATTTGAAGATAAATATTATGTGGAAAATTAATTAGGAATGAGTGAATATAAATGGTGGAAAATTTTTAATTTTGATTTTATCTGTTTATATCTGTGAAAAAATCGAAAATGGGTATCATGTAGAAGATTAATTTGAAATCAGTGAAATAAATGATGGAATTTTAAAAAAAAAATTAAAAAAATTATGGGAGATATAAGGGGACACGAAATAACTTTTTCCTTTATTTACTTTTTTGGTTGAAAAGGAAAAATAAAAATGGTAATAGGTGGAAAATATATAATTTTTTAAGTGAAAGATGCTGACTTGGCAATGACGTGGCGCATTGACCATTAGTCAACGTGTTTGACCGTCAAAGATAACTGTTAAACATCGAGTTTGGCCAATTTAGTAACTTTGATGTATAGTTTGGGCCAGGATGTTATAGATCGAAAAGATTGGCCAGAATGTTTATTATGTGCAAAGTTCAGGCCATACAAATATATCAACCCAGAACTTTAAGGGAAAAGTTCTTTAGTGCCTTGAGGTTTTTACCAGCCTAGACTGACCCCAACCCACTCACCAGGTCATAGAGTAGGATAGTAGGTACGAGGGAGCATCCAGTTTCAGAGTTTCCATCTAGAGGAGAGTAGTAAGATCGCCAATTAAGATGTCAGAGGCCAGATCAATAAGCAGCCCCATGGACTTTAGTTATCATGCTTTATGATTATGAGTAAAGCATACTTTAGTCATTATGCTTTATGATTATAAGTAAAGACTGGAGACTAAGATTGAGATTTTATGGTTTGCCCAAGTCTTACGACTATGCTTTCGATATTTATGATTTGAGAACAATGTTATCTTAGTTTATTCTAACAAGTTATTTCTTTTCTTTCAAAAAATTTAGGGCTAATACCACTAAAAATACCAACCTTTAGCAAAAGTGCCATTTATATTACGAAATTATTGATATGACATTTGTATACCAAATCGTCTTTTCCGTTAGTTTGACTGTTATATTTAACTGGGAGACTAGTCAGTGCCTACCTGGCACACTGACGTGGAAATTATAACCCGCCTATCTAATTTCCGCATTTAATTAGCAGAAAAAGATTTAGAAAAAAAGATAAAGGTAAAATAAAAAAGGGGAAATTACACTTCCTCTTTGTCACTCTCGAAGAGAACTGAAGAACCTTATTCCTCTCCCTATTCATCCCATCTCCACCAAAGCTTGACAGAAGGAGTATCAACGCTGCCGGATACTTGCTTTATCGGCAAATGGAACGCTGTCGCCTCCCTCCGCCCACTGTTCTCCTTCTCCAAATCTCATCGATAGATCTAGATTCATCTCCTCATCTATAATCGAAAAAACAGGCAGATTAGACAGATTAGGCGGAATCGAGAGGCAGTGGGAGATTTAGATCTAAATCCAAGGATCTGGTTGTCATTGTCGTTGTCGTCGACGCCGGGTTCCTCCCGCAGTTGCAGGCTTGCAGCGTCGTCACCGTCGAAGTGTGTCGGCCGTAAGAACAATAGATCAGTGAGCTGGGGGGGTCCACTTCCGTGATCGTTGTCGCCGCTCACCCGCGTTGCCCAGAGCCGAGGAAGAAGCTGAATCGCGCGGCCGCAAATCGAGGAGTTGGGATCGTCCAAAGAAGCAGATGTGGCATGACTGCGTCGGCGGTGAGAGAAAGAGTGAACCCTGGCTGTAAGGGTTGCGGAGGAGGGCAGAGGACCATTGTTTAGAAAAAAATTATTTAAAAATAAATTAATAATATTAATTATTTTTTCCGAAAATTAAATTAATATTTTCTAAATACTAATTTCCTACGTGGCACATATCTAGACAACACCTAAGAGCCACATAAGCAATAGTTAAATATAAGTTGACCACCGTCAGTCAACCGTCAATTCTAACGGTCAACAGAAATTCACGTAACACAAATGACGCAAACCCCTAATACGTTGGAATATTTTTGTGTTTATTGAAAGTACGTAATATAAAGGACACTTTCGCTAAAGGATGGTATTTCCAATGGTATTAGCCCAAAAATTTAAATAATGCTCCAAAGCAAAACTTTTATTTGAAAGTTTAAAAGAGTAGGGTGTTACATGTCTGATTTCCAGTTCTACAATCGGCAGGGTAGAGTGGATCGACTGAGGGCATACTAGTTTACAAATCCAGGTGTAGAGGCTTTGGTTAGGGCATCTGGTTTGTACCACTTGATTAGATGCATGATGCATAGTGTTGATTATCCTCTTCTGGTGGCGTTTATTGAGGGGTGGCAACAGAATACCAATACTTTTCACATGTCATTCGGGGAGATGACTATCACTCTTCACGATGTTTCGTTCCTGCTTCAGATTCCAGTGAATGGAGAGTTACTTGTTTCCCCAGCTAGGGGTGATCCGCCATTCATAAGTGGGATGATCTTCTTGGGATTTCATATAAGAAGGCAATGTCAACACGTGGCATCCGTTGGTATGATGGTGGTGGGTGTTGGTAGATGAGGCCGTAACACGTCTGCGTGCTTCGGGGATGAGGATGTTGAGGCATGATGTTACTTACTGTGTTTGATAGGGTCCACGGTTTTTGTGGACAAGAGTTCTGATCGTGCTCGTGGATGGTTGTGCTCTTACTTCGGTAATCTGTAGACGGTCACTAAGTATGCATGAAGTGTTGGTGCGCTTGCCTGGATGTATATGCAACTTGGGAGAACTAGTCTAGCGGGCTCTGGGGGATTTTCTTGGTGTTTGACCATAGACCATGAGAGACGGTGACCCATTTGCTAGGAGTTGAGAGGGCCATTTCGTGGAGGGGCCTAGTGAGGTTCCACGGAGCATTATCATGGGTATCATAAACAACATCATTTATGAACAATGACGTGTAATCAACACTTAGGTTATCTCCAAAACTTGCCTTTATAAAAATACTGGGTAAAAACATTTAGGTTAGTCGTGCAACAATTATGTTGCAGTAATTAAACTCTATTTAACACAAATAAATGGACTTCTTACCGAATCACTTATAATAATCTACTTGTTGTTTGATGATAGTGGGGAAAGAGTATGTAACTTCTACATTTTGTCCTCCCTCCTACAACTACAAGTACAACAAACAGCAATTTTAAATGAACATAAATAATATATTTCAAGTGAATTTTCATTAAAATTCGTTCAAATAAATCATTAAATTCGCCCAAGCATGTGAAAAACACGAGTTCACTGTCACTAACGGCCAGGCTGAAAGCCGCCACGATCCGTCGTAGGCGCGGACATGCTACGTGGGTGCCTTTACCGATGGACGGACGGGTAGGGAATCAGCCTCTACTGTTGCACGTGCGGAAGGGGAATCTGCATGTTCTGTTACCCGACTCTCCATTGACGCAGACTTGTATTGTATGGGGATGCTTCCTGGGAGGGACCGGCGGGCAGTCTACCCGCCTGCGCCTATTCAACCCGTCTGTCCATCAGTTGGGTTGGAATTCCAACCCATTCGACCCCGTTTTCCAGGGGGAAAAAAATCAAACCACCACATTAACTTCTTCCGAGCACTTGTTTACCGAGAATGATGACCCCTCTAACTCTAGCAACCTCCCCGCAATTGAAGAAAACTCACCGATGAAGTAGGGAGTAGTTGAGTGTTTTGTTGTGTGGTGTTTGATTTTAGTTTTTATTTGTGATGTTTGTATTCTTTTTAGAGAGAGAAAGAGTGAAAATGTATAGTACCTTTGTGTCCTACAATATATTGGTTTTAAACCCTAGAATTCAACGATGTCTCAGTTAGGTGATTTCATGTGCCTTAGGGCGATAAATTCAAACTAGATTTGGGCAATAAAAATTAACTCTCTTGTATTCTACTTCCGTGTAAAGCTAACAGTTTATAAGTTGGTAATCCACATAATGAAAGCTTTCGGTTTGAGATCTCTTCCCTAAAAATCCTACATTTTTTGCTCAAATACTCAAATTGGACAGTGGACTGTGCTAAAGAACAAAACATTCAATCTGAATAACTTGAGTTGTTGAGAGAATATTAATTATGGATATTATATCACTCTCTAATGTCTTCCGTTGTGGGTTATCAACCCACCCTTAGTACCGAAATGGCTATTGTACAACATGAGCGCTTCTACTATGCTATAAAGCATTGATGCTTTAATGTACTACTTAAAGTTGTACCATAACATTAAAAAGTAAATTTCAAGGTTGGTCACTGGGATTATAATAAACGTTCATATTTAGTCACTATAAATATTTAAGTAAACTTAGTGAGCACGAATGAAATTAAATATTTGTAGTGACCAAACATGAACCTTTTTAGTAATTCCAGTGACCAACCTTGCAATTAACCCTAACGTTAAATTTATAATTTCATGTTGTACCATAAAGAAATTCGTACCCTTATGTTTTGGTACAACTTTACAGTTGTACAAGAGTATAAGTACAATATGAAGTTGTACAATAACGTTAAAGGTAAATTGTACCACAGACAAAAAAAACCTATAGTACCAATGCTATATATAGCATTGTAAAATTCCTCACCCATCATACATTGTGCTCAAATTAACCGTTAATATTGACAGTAATAGAGATCGATCACATAACCACTTGATAAAACCAACTCTAATACCATGTTAACGAACAAATCATTAAGTCTCAATTTTTCAGAGTCTTTAACGTAAGACACTTCGACATGTACAGAGCCCGAGGGGCTTCTGCCCTTTAGTCAAATCAACCGTACATAGATATATAGATTTTTACATCCAATCGGCAGAGACATATAATGACACTTGGAAGAAGAGATGACTTAACATTTCAAACGTGTTAATAATGGCAAATAACCAATGACATAAAATAAACTGTCCAATAATCATGTCAGATGACCTACCAAAATTGTCTGCTAACTCGTCATACAAGTTTGGAGTGGTAATGGTTTATCGAGCAACTAGCTTAAGAAAAAGAATCATCTTTATTAAAAGCATCGCTCAAAACCGTACTTCAACTGCCTAAGTTCCCCACCAGAACAGCCCACCTTCCGATTGCTGACTCTTTAATTAACTTGTTATGCGTAACCAATGGCTATTTAAGTACCTGGCGGACGAAAAAATTATACAAACGTCAGTTGGAGTTCCACGAATCAGACCATAAGAGTAGTGATGGATGTGATTAATGCCATCGTTTACACAGAGAGAGTCATTGCTGCTGCACAGGAATCACGGTTTTCTAGTCAAAAACAAAATTGCATACTGTCAAAGATTTGAAACATACAACTAAAGCTTGGAAATCATGCTCAGTGGATAAACAGGAACAATGGACAGCAAGCAAGACAATGGGGCATGTAGATGTCTACTTTGTCAACTTTGTCCCAAGTATTAGATTCAGATTCAATGGTTTCTAGGACCCTGAGGAACGGTAACTGCCATGCACTGGAAGAGTGCATCAGTAAGATCTGCAAACATGGAAATCAATCGGACAATCTGACTGGGAATTTCAGAGGGAAAGTAGTATAGTAGCAAGTGGAAATCAGTTTAGTGTACAGGAAACCTAGGAATGTTCCAAGAATGTCGATTGTAGTCTGTAGATGTCTCTTATTTGCATAATGCTTCAGGGTGTTCATAAGATCATCTTCTAACTCAAGAAAGTTGAGAATTCATTTTTCTTTATCCTTTCTGAAAACAAAAGATATCAAAAGAAACGAGAACCTACGGTTATGGCATGAATCCTCCGCCTTTGGTTGACTGATGCATCACCCGTCTTTTCCATTCCTTCCTATCAATCCCAATATTCATACAAACAAAATGCACAGAAAACTAACATCCAACCTAGCTCATAGACACAATAAGAAGCTCATACAAAAGCAAATGTTTTGCTATCAAAGATTATTCATAGGCACACCAAAAAAAAAAGGCATGCAGCTTTTTATGTCATCATGTGCCCTAAAAATGGTAAAACTCACAAAGAAAATACTAGCGATCCTGACAAGAATGGCAGAAGGTACCATGAGACAGCTCGCAGAAAGCCCGCAATTTAGCATTGAGATGAGAAGTGAGGTGGGTCTTGGCAATCATACTGTGCAGTGGCAAGAAAGACTGGACGCATCCCAACTCTCCAAAGTTCCTGGAAGACCACAATTCAAGTGTTCAGCATAAAAGAAACAGAGAGAACGTACTGAGAAACCTGAAACCCAACAAAAGAGTGAAAGCATTCAGGGGTATGCAGGCCTAACTCCCTAGCTTTTAGTAGTTTAAAAGTAGGTTACAAGTAACAGCTTGCTTTGACAGAGTCCACTGTCACCTTGATTTACATGCTTCTGACGACTGACTATTGCATAAACAAGATGCAGATCAAACATGCTAAACGCCCACCATCGGGCAAATGCAATCGAATTTCATTGAATACCTTCCTTTGCTCTTTCGAAATGCCAAACAACCACCAAGACAGGCTAAATCTGAATTGATAAACCGTACTAAGCTAACTTCCTGTTACTTCCACTGAAATCATCCCGTGACTAGTACTAAATTGGATCCAAATAAACCCGGTTATTCAGAAGGAAGGACTCCAGATTGTGCAAATTAAATGACGAGACGCCCCGAATGTCGTTTCAACGCTATCAAGCAGATCGGTATTGACAAGTGCGAGCAAGATACCTGGAAGGAGAGAAGGAGAGCCGGCGCGACTGGACGCGGGGAGCGCAGGTGGTCGACGGGCGGAGGCGGGGAAGCGGAGCTGAAGAGGAACGCACAGATGGTGCCCTGGCCGCAGACATCAAGGAACGCGAGAAGGAAGAAGCTCCATTGCGCCAGGCCATGATGGTTTGTGGTGCGGACAGTGATGGACAAAGGCGAAGGCTGCGAAAGAGTCGATACCAGTGATTGATCTGAATCCGACTAACCCATAACTCGACCGACTCAACCCGAACTTCACTTAAACCAATTGAATAATTATTATATCATATAATACATAGTTTTTCAAATTAAAATTTTCATTCTAAACTTAGGTAAACTTATTTTTCATTTCGTAAAGTAAAGTCATGTATTTGGCAATTTGATATTTTTAAAAGAAGAGGGAAGTTTTGGTGTATTCAACTTTTTGGAAGAGAAAGAAGACGGAAATTTGGTTATTTAAACTTTTGAAAAAAAAACAGGGGGAATTTTGGTGTTTTTTATTTGTGGGAAGAGAAAAAAGTGGAAAAGTTTGTTATTTTTTTTTATTATGACAGAGAAAGGCAAAATACACTTACGGGTCGTTTGCTTCATGGATTTGAAAAATGAGGGTTTTGGTAAAACTTGGATTTTGGAAAACCATGGATATATGATGGATTTGGTTGCATTATGAATTTGGCCAAGTCTATTGTTTGCTTGTTGGATTTGATTATAGATTTTGTTTGAATAGATTTGTGGATATGAAATTCAAATTACCTTGTTACCCTTATCTTATCTAATTATATTTCTATATTATAATCCATAAATTTCATTAAAAAAATTCAACGCATACAATGAAATTTTAAACTCTTTACCACTAATAATTCAACTACAAATATAGAAATGTATTATAGTTTGGCACTAATTAACAGCTCATCTAATAATGTACGCAATATTATGTATCAATTGCAACCAATTGCTCGCTTTATTGCTACAACTCATCAACTTTTTGCTAACTCCCCGATTTTGGAATCCGACAATCAATCAAATAATAATGCACAAGACGAGCATAAGATGTTTATATTTGAATCTAACAAATCACATATACATTCATATTTAAATAAACTATGATATTAGAAAACGAAATGAAAAATTCTCATATATATAAAATACGTCATTATAAAAGTTTATAATTGCATGACCATTGAATTAAAATAGGACAACTTTGTAATTAAAGTAATAAGTAAGGGTAGAAAGGTAATTTACCATCGTGGATTTTAATCCATCACCCAAATCCCACCTCAAGAGGTGGAACTTCCAAGTCTGTGGGGTCCACGGATTTGGAACCCCAAAAGTGGCGGGACCCACAAATTCCATCTCCCTAATTCCCTAAGGCAAACGTTGGATTTCCGTTAAAGTCCATGATGGATAGATTTCCATGACCAAATCCATCACCAAAACCCTCAAGCAAACGACCCGTTAGATAGCCACAAACTCACGTTTTGACAATAATAGTCATTTTCTGAAAAATACAGCAAAATATCCACAATTTTAAACTTATTTGACTAAGTTAGCAACTCTGTTAGTTAAGTGGATGTTAAGCTTACGTGGCCTCAACTTGGACGACACGTCATTTTCGCCTAGACTCATCATGCCACGTAATCGTCACGTCATATTTTACATTAAGGGTGCGTTTGGATACAAGGATTTAGATTTGGTATTTGTGATTTGGATTTTCAAATACCAAATCATGTGTTTGGATATTAATTATATTTACTATTTGGATTTGTGTCAAATTCATGGGGTGATTCCAAGTACATGTCTAGTGTATTTTTTGTCAACTTCAAATACATTTCAACAACTAGTGATTTGAAATACCTCCTAACAAAAGAATGGACCTATTTGTAAAATATGAAAAGTTTAGGTACTATAGTGTGAGGCAAAACATATAAAGGTACCAAAATGTAATTTTACCATCAAAATTTCAGGACCTTTTTGTAAAATTTTAAAAGTTTAGGTACTAAATTGTAAGAAAAAATAATTTTGGGTACCAAACTGTAATTTACCAAAATTTGAAGTAAGTGACCAGAAAATTAAAAATTGAAATTGAAAATCATAAATACAAAAATACAAACAAATTATAAATGAGTATCCAAACAATGAATTTGAATTACATGTATTTCAAATTCTAATACTTCAAATACATCAATTTCAAATACTAGTATTTCAAATACCTTACATTTAAAATACACTTATCCAAACGCACCCTAAAATAATACAATTTTTTTATCCTCCCTATACCGAGCTCTGCCTTCCTCCGCCACAGCTCCGTCGTCTCATGCCGACGCAAGGCATAAAGCGATTCAGCGGCGTACTTTTGTCGTCCTAGTCGAAATTGCCAGTACCGACTCAGGACATTGTTTGGGACCAACGGTGGAGTGCCCGAACTTCCTCCTCCTCTAGCGGCGAGACGGATCGCGTTTCCACCGTAGTCAATCCAGCTACCACAATCGTCTATCCCCTATGACCCAAAGCCCTTCCATTCTTCATCTTTCTCGTCGATAAAACTCACCATTCTGGACGATGCCCGACCACCATTGTTGACGATAGCGAACACATCCCATCCCAGTATACGGGAAGCTCTTATTCCCAACCCAGATCTGACGATGAACAAAATCCAGAGGTGAAGATTGATGTTGTCGGTTAGATTAACAATATAATGACATCCTTTCACAGCCGGCGAGAAGAAGAACGAGACGGCGCTAACCAACAGCGATGGGCGACCATTTTAAAGGGCTTGCCGGTGTTGGATTTTGAAATCCTGTTTCGTTGGCGAAACTCGTGTGTTAACTGCGCACGGTTTTCAAGAAAAACACAAAAACACACGTCAATCACAACCGTCAAATATCCGCCGCTGGTGTCGGCGCCGTTGATTTGACCGATTAAAACAGAAACAAAGACGATCGTCAAATGGCCGCCGCCGGTGTCGGCGTCGTTGATTTGATCGATACACCTTTGACTTCTAATCAAACAACTGTTATTCGGTCCAACACCTCTCCAAACTACGTTCGAACGAGGGTGTTCGAATAAACAGAAAATTGAACCAGGAGTGTTCTAAGTTACGTTACCTCTACTCCTATGGAGGTTCCTCTGGAGAGCTCCGCGACTACGACTACAAGCTACGATCTACGACTCTGCAAAGGAGTTCTTTGACAGAGCGGTTCTACGAAACTAGAGAGAAAAAAGATAATTCTGCAATGGTGCAGTTGTGATTTGATTTTGCCGTCTTGAGCTTCTCTCTCTTCCCAATCTTTATACTTCGCGCTTCTCCCCGTCGTAGTAACTGCCAATGCAGTCAAAATCGCGCTTTAAAACTTAAAAACTTACGATTTTACGCTTTTGGGTCACCAAAACGCTTTCGTTTCCATATAAAAACTTAAGTGTATAAAATCGGACTAAATTGCGCTTTAAAACTTAAAAACTTACGGTTTTACGGTTCTAGTTCACCAAAACGCTTTACGTTTTTACGCTTTTAGTTCGCTACATGAGTATTCTTTTCATGAAATTAATTATAAAAAGTATATTTTTAAAGTAAATCACTAACAATATGATACATTTGAGATTAAAAGATACATACTAGGTACTTGGATGCATTCTACTTCAATAGAGTAATCTAATTCACCAACTAGGGTTTTCCCAAATTCATTAGCATAGAGGGAAAAGTGGCTTATCGTTAAAATTTATGTTTACGAACTTATTATTAAGATGCTATAAGTTGCTCTACTTTAAACATGAATCACATGTATTTATTAACTTATCTAAATTCTGTGCATTCATATTTTGCATAGCATATGTCCTACTTAATAGATTTTTAGTTATTTTTCAGTATGCGTCAAAAACTTACGCTTTTACGCTTTGATTCTACGTTTTACGATTTTACCCCTTTTCCGCTTCTAGGTAGAATCACGCTTTTGACTGCATTGGTAACTGCCTTCGCGCCTTTGTCTCCCACATCTTCACTCCTGTCAACCGTGCAGGTAACTTCCTCCTTGTTGCGTGATAGTCACGTGCCCTTGAAACCGCTCCTGCCTTGCAGAAACTTGGCAAAACGACCTACATCCTTGTCCAGGTAACGATGTCGTTTCACCAATACCACGGCATCGCCCTTCCCCAACCGATGCCGTTTCATAATCCAACTCAACTACTCCGACCCGGTTTAACCAACGACATTGTTAGTCTACCGCGATGTCGTTTTGCTTCTCCGCGGCATCGCTTTTCATTAAACGACACCGTCTAAAATACTGATTAATTAAACCAGCCCTTATTGTTAACTCGCCGTCGAACTTTCACCCCTCGGCGTCGTTCTTAATTAAACGACATCGTTTCCTTGTCCCGCGATGTCGTTGAACTTTTGAGCTTCGCGACGCTGTTTCAATTTTAACACTGTCGTTTTACCTGTTGCGGCATCGTTTGGCCTACTCGCGGTTTTGTTTTATAATCCGCGATGTCGCTTCTTTCCTCTTGCGGCATCGTTTCCAACTAAACGACACCGTCCTAAAAAATAATTAACCATATTAGTTAATTAATCCGGCCAATAACTAGTCAAACCGACGACATCATTAGCGCCCAAAACGGCTCCGTTTGCCTTTCCCTTCGCGACATTGTTTTTAATTTAAACACTGTCGTTTGCTAATCCGCGGTATCGTTGAGCTTACTCGCGGTACCGTTTTGAATTAAACGACACCGCAGATATAGCCAAAAAATATTAATCCATGAAACCGCCGCAGTCGGGGGCCGGGTGAATTTTGGTCACTTGCCCGATATGCTTTTTTAATTAATCGGTACCGCTTTAGCTCTCCGCGATACCGCTTATCTCCATGCGGTACCGATTTTCCCCTTCCAACAAGGAGTAAAAATAATAATTAAATAATCACAACTCCTCCTCACCCTTCATTAAACGAGCGGCCTCTTTATTTTCGGCCTGCGGTGTCGTTTCCGGTGTTGCGGTACCGGTTCGGCCTCCTTGCGGTACCGGTGAGTTCCCTTGCGGTACCGGTGAGTTCCCTTGCGGTACCGTTTTAACTCCAAACGATACCGTTTTTTACCCCGCGGTATCGAATTAAATGCCGAGATTAATTAATGCGGCATTTAATCCCGGCCAAATTAATTTTAGGTTTCAACAAATGCCCCCCACAATTTGGTTTATAAGAATTATGAACCAAATTGTTGACACAATTTAACTCACCTGAAATTAACTCCAAAGGAATGAAAAATCAATGTTGGCCGTGAAACAACGTTGTTCTCTTAACAACACTGCTGAATCGATCCGGTTAATAATTGGACAAAGCAACATTGAGGCCTCGTCCTTATGTAACTTTCCCTGTTCAATCAAATACCATTCTCATTACCCTTGTCCAACGCAGGGAAAGCCATTTGTCAAAAACCACTCCATGTAGAATTCGAACACCTCATGGCTGCCTGATCATGCAATGTTGTTGTCTTTTTTTTTTATTATTATTATTTAAAACCAATACAT